GAAATAGACTCCTAGACCAAGAGAGATAAATTCATGTAAGCTTTCAATCAGGGCCTCTTAGATAGTTTCCTTGAATTCATCTCACTCATTTGATTAACTACAGGGTATTCTCTAACCACCTTTTCGAAAATTCACTTTTCTTCCTATTCATTTTCTTTCTTCATCAACAATAGAATAAATGGGTTTTATTATACTTTATTACTCATAACTATTTTTGTTTATTACTCTTGGCTGACCCTTAGATCTATTTAGCATTAGAAACCGCTTAGCTCTTTAATAGCTATCATATTTAACAATGCTTTAATGGGTATCTGTCAGTCTCACACTTTATTTTATTCATATATTTTTGTATTTTTTCGCTGCCCGCCAACTTTGTGACCGCCGTTGCAATCAGATTAAAAGCATTTTGGCTCGTTTGTGTTCCCCTTTAGCGCTATCGTGTCAGCTGCCACGCCCCCTGCTCAGGCCCATAGGAACATTATCGGGCAATCAATAAATTTTTAATAATCGCTGACTGCGAAACTATCCTGCCAACTACTTGGCTTCATATTTATGACTCGAAAGTTTTTGCCTTTTGTCGATTTTGATGGGCGAGGCTCTCCCTCTATCTCTCTCTCTCTCTCGCTATCTCTCTCTATCTCGCCTCATCTTAACTAATGGGGCAGCTTTAAGTGGCTCTTGCAGCTGACAGCGAATTGTGTCATAAACTGTTTGGGATGTCCTGTCACTTGGTGTTGCTGCTGCTCCTGCTGCTATTGCTGCTCCTCCTGCGGTTGTTGTTGTTGCCTATTGTTGCTGAGGCGTGCGACAGCTCAGCGCGAGAGTTTGTGTCAGAAAATCGATAGTTTAGACATCGTCTGACGCCTCATTATATTCTGCATGTACCATAAATCATGGCAATATGTTAAATTGTGCAACGTTGCAGCAAGTTAATCCCGCCACATTTCATAATTGCACTTCAGACCAATTAAAGCTGAAGCGGGAAATATACAAATACAGCATCCTTTGTCGGCGCAGCATTGCAAACAATTTCGATTCGAATCGTGTAAATAGCCGAATGATTGATGAAGCTCTTCAACTGCAATTTATTTACCATATACTTATTGCGTATACGCAGCGTTATCAGCTTTTGAGCCCATCGCCATGCCAATCCGGCAACATGATATCGCAATTTGCTCCAGCTACTTGTTCAGCTGCTCGATGCGACTTGGCCAGCGATAAATCTTCTACGCGCCGATTTCACATATGCGTCGTCGACCTTTTGGCCAACCAAATTTAGATTTATTTCACAGCAAATATATATTTGAGCTGGCAGAAAGTTTTGACATATTTCAGACAGTCGCAAGACAAATGCGCCTTTAATGTTAATATATTTATACGTATTGCGTGATTTATAATTTATTCGCCTAAAACTAAATAAAAGAAATCTAAAGCTTAATAAACAAAGTCTACATGCAAACATCAGGCTGCATTTAAATGTCAGCTGTCGCCCGTCGCACTCACTCTTCTGGCTTATATCTCTGTTTGCGTAGAAGGCCATTGCGAATATTTTTAAAAATCATTTTTAGTTTAGGCCACATAATAAATCATTGCTGCCAGACAATCTCAACCACAAACGCAAAAAGAAATAAACAGCAGCAGCTGCAAAAAACATGTGAGTGCATTAAACAAAAAAGTTTCTCACACAAATTCGCCCCAAGCTGAAACAGCAGCAACAACAACAAATAAACAAGAGTTGTAAACTTGAAATTCTATGACTTCATTGTTGGCCTTAAATTATGCGTAGCCAAATAGTTTGTTGTGCATTTTTATGCCTGAGAACATGTGCAGCTTGCACTTTTCCGCATTCGTTCAGCCTTTTCATGTGGATGGCAATAGAAAACACAAAAAAATTAGCGCAGGACATTGAAGCGTCCGGCTCGACGTTGCCATAAATCTCAATGTTTACCTTCTGAGGGCAACTCAACAATGGAATTCTGCTCACTCTTGTCTGGGATTTGGATTCAATTAAACTGTCAGCGGGAAAGCCAGACCCTCAAGACATGCTCCCTCTCCCTCTCTCGCACCCTTGGCCCATAGGACATCTGCAATATTTGTCATGCTGAGCAGCGTGCATTAAATTCGAATTACCAGAGAGCCGTCAAGAGAACAGCGTGACAAATCCCCAAGATATACCCAGTATACCTGTATATAGCCCCCAACTCACTTACTGATTATGCTAAACACTCAGCGAAAGATTCGAATTTAAATTCCTGAGATTTATCGCTATCGAAGCTTTCATTTTTCAGAGAAAAATGGCCTTGGCAGGTGGGCCCACTGTCAACAGAAATAAGCCCCAAAACCGCAGAGGACACGCGAAGCTCAAAGTTAGTGGCCATTGAGGCCGTCGAGGGACAAAAGAGTGGAAATTTGAAATGCGCGAGCGATTCCAGATGCCGACCGCAACCGTCTTTCAACAGGGGACAACTGACAAGCTCTGGAAGTGGACAAGGACAAGGACGTGGACATTGGGTTTGGAGTTGGGGTTAGGTGATGGACACCTGTGGCTTTGCCAAGCAATAAATCAATTCGCCCGACGTCTTGACATTTGCCTCTAATCGCGGGGGACACGACTCGAACTAGAACTTGTTCATTCCATGCCAAGGAGAGCAAATTGGTGGTATTTGCAGTGGGARTTTGGKTKTTCGGTAGGCCAATAATTTAACCATGCAATTGTAATACAGACTTTATTTGTTTAAAATGAAAGCGAACTATCAAAATATTTTATTCACAGAAGTCTTAAAATATTTATATTTATATTTATTTGCTTTAAAGATTTGTAGGGCATTCTATCCGCAATCATTAAAATTAAATTCAATCAATTGCG